GGAATCTAAAAAACCCAAATCCAGAGAAACAGAACAGATTGGTGGTTGCCAGAAGTGGGGAGCAAGGGAGTGGGGAAAATGGGTGAAGGTGGCGAACAGGTACAAACTTCCAGTTATAAGAGAAATAAGTTCTGGGGCTGCGACGTACAGCACGGTGACACAGTTATCAATGCTGTACTGTATATCTGAAACTTGCTGGAGGGGGGGGTCTCAAAAGTTTTTATGTCAAGCAGAGCCCTGGACTCCGGGGCGGCGCGCGGGGGGCGGGGAGTGTGTGTGTGTGTGTGTGTGTGCAGAGCCCAGGGGCTCTGGGTCGGGGACTTGCTGCGGGGGGCGGGGGGGGGGGGCCCTCATCCCTAGTGAAGAAGACAGGTCCAAGGACACCCCAGGAGGGAGCCCCTTCAGGAACCATTCTGAGTCCAGTCTTGGCTCTCAGGAAAGTCCCTTCCGGTCTCTGCTCCTGTTTTCTAAGTCTGTAAACCAGATACGATGATAATAATAGCTAGTGTTTATTCTAAATTTTTTACTTCTTAAATTTTGAAATTTCAGACCTACAGAAAAGTTGCAAAATTGTACAAAGAATTGTACAACAAATTCCCATGTACCTTTCACATGGAGCCCCCAAATATTACCATTTACTTTGGCTCTATCATTCTCTCTCTAAAATTATTTATAAAAGTTATTTGTATATGCATAAATACTTTTTTTTCTGAGCTGTTTTGAGAGTAAGTTGCAGGCATAGTGTCCTCCCCTAAATAATTGTGTGTATTTCCTTTAAAAAACAAAGGTCATGTTGTACTTTACCACATACAACTATCAAATTTAGGAAATGAACGCTGATACAGCGCTATTTTCTAATCCGTAGATGGACTTCACTTTGACCAGCTGTCTCACTCGTGTCCTTAGGGCACAAGGCATGGCGTCTGCCGCCTCCCTCAGTCTCTGTCAGTGTCTGTCTTCCTCTCCCCTTGACTCTCCCTGTGCTGAAGCTTGAAGAGTCCAGGCCACTTTGGTTTTTTGTCCCATGTGTCCTCATGCATGGATTCAGATTCAGTATTTTGGCAGAACGCTTCAGAAGTCTCTTTGTCCCTCCGGGTGCATCACTTCAGGAGCACAGGTGTCGGTTTTTAGGCAGGATCTTTAAGCCGGACGACACAGGGGCCTTCACGGTGGAGGAGGCACTCCGACCCTGTGCGAGGTCTGGGCCCCCTGGCAGACCCGAGGTGCAGACTCCTCCAGGGAGGCGGGAGAGGGTAGGAGGAGGGGTCAGTGCAGGGTCCAGGGTTCCTGGCTCGCTTAGGGTGTGGATGAAATGGGCTGCGCGGATCTGCCACCCCCTGAACCCTCCTCCCCAGATCTGGGCTTCAAGGACCTCACGCTGCAGCCGCGGGGCCCCCTGGAGCTGGCCCCCCCGAAGCCCGGGGCGCCGCAGGAGCCAGGGCCAGGGCAGCCGGCCGCCGCGCCCGAGCCCCCGCCGGTAAGCTGCCGCCGCGCGCTCCCCGCCCCCGCTGCCCCGCGCGCGCGCGCGCGCTCACGGCCGCTCTGCCCCCAGGTGGGCTGGCAGTGCCCCGGCTGCACCTTCATCAACAAGCCCACGCGGCCCGGCTGCGAGATGTGCTGCCGCGCGCGGCCCGAGGCCTACCAGGTGCCCGCCTCGTACCAGCCCGACGAGGAGGAGCGCGCGCGCCTGGCCGGCGAGGAGGAGGCGCTGCGCCAGTACCAGCAGGTGGGCGCGGAAGTCCCCGGCCAGACACCTGCACACTGGACGGGGGAGGCGTAGGCCAGGAAGGGAGGCACCTCCGCATTGCCGCTCCTCTCCCGTTGCTGCCTTGCCCCTCATGACCACACCACTGGCGGTGACTTTGTACTTGACTGTGACCCGCTCTGTCCTGGAGGTCATCCTGTCGCTGAGACCCTGCTCCCTGGCTGTGACCATATGTCCTGCCCCCACGTGGGCTGTGGCTCCGCCCCTAGCTTTGACATACACAGCAAAATTTTGCACACAAGTGTTCTGGCTGTGACTCCAACACCCAAGCTGTGGTCCTGACCACATCCCCATCTGCCACCCCTCATCTGCCTGTGACCTGGCTCCTGCTCCACTCAGCCATGACCTCACCCTGGACCCTACTACTCCTGACCCCCATCCCTCTGCACCTGTGGCCCACCCTGACTTCCTATGACCCTGGACCTGGCCCCCCCCACTCCCCCGCTCCCTGGGGGGTTAACCCTGTCCTCTGCCCCGCCCCATCCCATAGCCCCACCCCCTATCAATGACTCACACACTAGTTACACAGATACCTGACCCCGAGTGTTCCCCCATTCTGATCAGATGCCCTCCATGCCACACCTGTATTCCCCTGGGACCCAGTGCTGTCCTTGCCCCACCCAGACCATGACCTCACTCCTGGTCTCATCTACAGTCTTGGCCGGGACCCTGTCCTCTGTACCCTAGCTTTATAACCCCCCACCCCCCATACCCCTGACCTCCTGTGTGACCTTGGCCTGCCTCCACCCATGCCCCCTGGCCCCCGGGATAACCCTGCTACCCCAGTCTCCTGGATCAGACCCTGGCCCTCTGACTTTCCCTGCCGCCGTCGCTCCCTCGCCTGGCTGGACCCCCGTTGCAGGCCCCACTCGGCCCTGCCTGGCCCGCCCCCTGCCCCTGGCTTCCGGCCTGGCTCCCTGGCCACCCCACCCCGACCCGGGATCCTGAGTCCCCCGGCTTCGCCCGCCCCCTTCCTGGTCTGACCCGCCCCGCGGCCCCGCCCCGTGTGCCCAGCGGAAGCAGCAGCAGCAGGAGGGGAACTACCTGCAGCACGTGCAGCTGGATCAGCGGAGCCTGGTGCTGAACACCGAGCCCACCGAGTGCCCCGTGTGCTACTCGGTGCTGGCGCCCGGCGAGGCCGTGGTGCTGCGGGAGTGTCTGCACACCTTCTGCAGGTGCGGCCCCCGCCCCCGCGGCGTGGCTCTAGGGCTCTACCACCAGGTCAGAGGGCTGGAAGGGGGTGGGCCTGTGCTCTTCCATCTTAGTGGACGCCCGAGGAACTTGCGAGGTAGGCGCTCTGTCCCGGTTTTGCAGAGGAGGAATGAGAGGCACATAGAGGCCAGCACCTTGCTCAAGACCACACAGCTCAGGCGTTCTGGCTGTAGAGGCTACGCCCTTCACCGCAACTGGCCCAGGCCGTCGCCCTGGCAGCCTATGCCACCCCGGCCTGCGCCTCGGCGGGGCGGTCTTCCCTCTCTGAGGCTCCTCTGCTGGCCCGTTGGCCCCTGGGCTGTGGAGAGCAGGGCCTCCTCCACAGCAGCAGCGGCAGCCGTGGGGTCTGTGCTGGGCCTGGGGTTCCAGAAGTGGACAAAAGGGCTCAGTGCCTGCTTTCTGCAGCTTACAGCCAGTGGGGAGGCAGAGTAATCAAGTACTCACTGATCTAATTGTAAATTGTGTCAAATGCTAATACCAGTGGCTTTAAGGCAACAGGGGCCCTGGTCCCAGAGGGGTCAGGGAAGCCTGTAGGTGGGTGGCAGTTGAGCAGAGACCAGAGGGTCTGGTGTGGGTGTGTGCCTGGCCTGTTTGTGGCAGCAGAGGGTCAGGGTGACCAGAGCAGAGGGTGGACAGAGAGGGGTTAGGGAGGGCGAGGCACCGGGGCTCTTGGGAGCTGCACTGAGGGGTCGGGTTTGCATTTCGTGGGACAGGCAGGGATGGGAGGCTGCTGGGGAGGATGCGGCCACTGTGTGGAGAGTACGCTCTAGGGGCGAGGAATGAGGAGGCCCCTGCAGTCCTCCAGGCGAGGGGTGTCAGAGACCCGGACCCGAGCAGTGGGGCGGCAGTGGGGTGGACAGAAGTGGAGGCCATGGTGATGGGTTGGCAGGAGGGACAGGGAGGAGGGAGGTATTGAGGAGAAGCCCACCTGGGGTCAGACGTCGCCATGGGAGGGGTGGAGTCCTGGGGGATGGGGCCCAGATGATGCTAACTTCCACCCACCCCCTCCCCCAGGGAGTGTCTGCAGGGCACCATCCTCAACAGCCAGGAGGCTGAGGTCGCCTGCCCCTTCATTGACAACACCTACTCGTGCTCGGGCAAGCTGCTGGAGAGGGAGATCCGGGCGGTAAGGGCCGGGGGCAGGCACACCCTGAGCTGGCCGTGGGGACTGGCTCAGAGAGCCCGTCTCAGACAGGAGACACTAGAGAGCTCTCCCTCCTTATGTGGAATGCTTGGGCCCAAGCAGGAACAGAGCGGGAACTGGAGGAAGCAGCTAGTAAAGAAACCACCTCTACGAAGGGAAGACAGCAGAGGGGTTAAGAGTAGGAGAACTCTGGGCCCAGATGGCCTGGGTGACCTCAAGCCAGAGACTCAGGCTCTCTGTGCCTTGGTTTCTCTTCTTGGTCAGTTAGGGTTGAAGTTAGAGTTGGTTTCTATTTCCAGGGTCGTGAAGATGACAGTAGAGGATCTGTGTAAAGAACTTAGAGTAGTGCCCGACACACGGTAAGCCCTTGTGTCAGTTAGCTTTTGCTGTGTAACAGGTCACTCCAGACTTAGTAGCTTGAAACAGTCACTATTTATTTAGCTCATGAATCTGCCAGTCAGTCCTTTGAGTCGTTTGAGCTGAGCTGAGCCGGATGATTGTTCTGGTCCACACTGGGCCTGGCTGATCTCGTCTGGGCTTCGCTGGTGGCTCAGCCGTCCTGGACTCGTTTATCTGCCACAGCTGGGGTGATTGGGCCTCTCTCCACTTTGGTCTCTCGTCCACCAGCAGGCTGGCCAGGGCCTGCGCACGTGGTGGGGGTCTCAAGGGTCCAGAGCAGCCAGAGGGGAGCCCCAGCGCAAGAGTGCTTTCCCATCTCGTGCTTTTCTCACTTGCTGTTGTCCCATTGGCCAAAGCGGGTCATATGCTCAAGCCCAGAGTCCGTGTGGGGAGGGGACCACCCAAGGGTATGGCATCAGGGAGACATGAATAAATCCAGCAGTCTGTCACAGTGCTGTGACGTCTGCATGTGTGCGTTTGCTGTTGTTACTATTATTAATGTTGTTGTTATCAAGTCTCTCCCTGGCTGCTGTTGATCTTGAGCAAGTCCTCTCCCTTCTCTGGGCCTCTGTTTCCCCACCTGTAAAGTGGACTGCCGGGCCTGATTCGTGGTGTTTAAACTGCTGGGGAATGGCCTTCCCAGAATTGGGCATCGGGCAGACCGCCCCAGGCCCGTACACAGAGCCCTGGTCCTCCCCGTCCCTCCTGCCTCTCTCCCGTGACCGGCTTCTCCTGAGAACGCCCCTGACTTCACTGAGTGTTTCCTGGAGCCCAGAGGGTTCTGCCTTAGGGGAGACAGAAGAGGCGGACGGGCCTGGACCCCGTCACCCCCACCCCTGCACCGAGAGCAGCCTGCATTTACCTGTTGTCTGAGGGGCATCTGAGAAGGGGGGCTCCGGGTGGTCGCCAAGGCCTCCTTGCTCAGGCCTGGAGAGGCCCCAAGACAAGGATCATTCCTTATGGCCCGGCACCCACAGCCATTGCCCAGAGGTTTTCCCTGTGGGGTCCACCCGTGCCAAGGGGCATTGTGGTGGGGCCAGAGTTCATGCCAAGGGGCTGCAGGCCCATGCTTTCCTAGAGGCCCTGGGAGTTGACCTGAGCTCAGAGTGACCTCAGAACGGTCAAGTGTAGCAGAGGAAAGGGCAGGGAGCAGCAGAGTAATGCACTGGAGGTTGTTTTTACCAGAGCAGAAATCAAAGAGAAAAATCACCCATCACCCCCATCCCAGCAAATCCCCAATTGCACTTTCCCGTTTCCTTTGGTGTCTCTGGGCGGATGTGATTTTTTTCTGTTTTAAATCAGCCCTATTAAGGTGTACTTTGCACACGGTAAAGTGCACCCATTGTATGTGTGCAGTTGGATGAGTTTGGACAAATGTAACTAATGTAACTGCCACCTAATCAAGATACAGAACAGAGGCATGATTCCTCCCTCATTGTAACCAGCATAGATGTAATAACTTTTGCTATTTTGCTACAAAATCTTTCTAAAGATTATTATAAATCTCTATGTCATAAATCCTATTCATCCCTCTTATTAATCCGGTTTCTCAGTTTGCAAAGAACGCTTCAAGGAACATCTCTTCCTTCTTATATATTATTTTCTTAGGATAAACTTGTAGAAGTGGAGTAAGTCCCAAAGAGTCAGAAAGGTTTGGGACGGGTGAAACAGTGTTGCCACACCGCTAACGCAGAGTGCACCGTGCCAGGGTACTAGTTCAACCACATCCGCGCCAGCATTGCTGGTTATTGTGTTTGTCCCTTTTTTCTTTCTTTTTTTTATCATGGGAAGGTACACCTAACACCTTACCATTTTTAAGCATACGCTTCTGTGGCATTAAGCACATTCACATTGTTGTGCAGCCGTCACCATCATCCATCTCCAGAACTTTTATCCAGTTTTGAGTGAAGCTTTTAAACACTGAGGGTGACGTGAAGAAAAGCGCATAGGGTTGGACTTGATGGGTTGGGGCTTCCTGGAGGGTGTTTGGTGGCGGGAGGGCCACATAGCAGGTGTTCCGAACCCTGAGCGCCAGGGTGCGGTCTGTTGGCAGCTGCTGAGCCCTGAGGATTACCAGCGATTTCTGGACCTGGGCGTCTCCATCGCTGAGAACCGCAGTGCCTTCAGCTACCACTGCAAGACCCCCGACTGCAAGGGCTGGTGCTTCTTTGAGGATGATGTCAACGAGTTTGAGTGCCCCGTGTGCAAGCAAGTCAACTGCCTGCTCTGCAAGGTGGGGAGGGGACCCACACTGTCTAGTGCCCCTAGTCCTGCCAGGAGCTCACTGCCGTGCAGCTGTGATGCTGGCTTGGTTAGAGCTGCATGTCAGTGACAGGGCCTGGCCTGGGCCCTAAACTGAGCCTCAGCCTGGGACCAAGCCCTGACCCTAGACTGAGCCCCAACCCTGAGTCCCAGACCTGGCACCAGATGGAACCTCAGCCTCGACTGAGCCCTGGCCCACTACTAGTACTAACCCTGGCCTCCGACTGAGCCCTGATCCCAGTCACAGACCAGCCCCAACCCTGGCCCCAGACGGAGTCTCCAGCCCTGTCCTGAACTGAGCCCTGCCCTCATCATCTCAGTGGTTGACCACTAAAGAGACTGGTCGCAGCCTCAGCAGCTCAGTCTGCAGCATTGGGCCCACACCCGCAACACAAGCTAGCCAGGGACGAGGGGCTGCAGCCTAGAGGGGAGACTGTAGGGTTTTCTCTGCCCATCGGGACTTAAAATAATTACATATGTGTTGTTATTATCATATGTGGCGATCCTGGCTTCACCCCCTGGTCTCGGTGTCCTCTTCTGTAAGATGGGTGTGTGGTTTACAAAGCAAGGCCCTGTCCGTGACGTTTAGAGGCCTTAAGTGCTTGTGTGGATGCCTGCTCTGCCCCCCAGCTCTCAGCTTTTTAACGCCCTGGGGAACCCCTCACCTCGCGGCCCTCACCCCACTGCAGGCCATCCATAAGGATATGAACTGCAAGGAGTACCAGGATGACCTGGCCCTGCGGGCTCAGGATGATGTGGCTGCCCGGCAGACAACAGAGATGCTAAGGGTGAGGCTGGGTCAGAGCCGAGGTCCTGGGGATTTGAGTTCTGGGAGCTGTTGGGGCAGGGGCTTCTCGGAAAGGACTGTTGTTCATACAGTCCTGGAGGCTCTGACCTCCTGGTTGTCACCCCATCCAGAGATGGGATTTTGGATGAGTGGTCAGATGGGAGCAGCAGGAAGAGCGTCTGGGTGGACAGAGGAAGCAGCAGAAAGAGAGGAGACGAGGCTGGACACAGCCCGGCCTGGGCGGGGCAGCGGAGGAGAATGACTCCACAACTCCAGAGGGGAGACAGTTTCCCTCCGCGGTGGGGAGGGGGGCCCGGGAGCGGGGCTGGCCACGCAGCTGCCCCAGCCTGGCCCCAAGGTCAGCCCCTGCTCTGCTCCAGTTGATGCTGCAGCAGGGCGAGGCCATGCACTGCCCACAGTGCCAGATCGTGGTGCAGAAGAAGGATGGCTGCGACTGGATCCGCTGCACGGTCTGCCACACCGAGATCTGCTGGGTCACCAAGGGCCCACGCTGGGGCCCCCGGGTGAGTCTTCCGGGAGTCATATGGGGGCTCCCTCGTGGGCCTTGCCTGAGAGAGGGCTTGGAGAGCTGTAGCCCCTGGGGCAAACCCAACCTGCCTGTATTGGTACAGCTTGTGAGGGAAGAATCGTGTTACATTTTAAATGGTTGGGAAGGATCAAAAGAAGATGATTTCATGACGTGAAAATTATACGGAATCCAAATTTCGGTGTCCATAAGTAAAGCCTTATGGGAGCGCAGCCAGGCTCACTCAGTTCCATATGGTCCAGGGCTGCTTTTGCGCTACAAAGGCAGAGCCCTGTGGCCCACAAAGCCTGCAAGGTCTGGCTCTTTACAGAAGCAGGTGGCCACTCCGACCCTAGAGAACAGCGATTAAGGGTTCAGTCTGAAGCCAGAGCTGGAGTGGCTGGGTGATGAGGCGGTCACTCCCTTCTCTGAGCCTCGGTTCCTTCATCTGTAAAATGGAGATGACAGCAGGGCCTATCTCAGGCTTGCCGTCAGAATCAAATGAAAAAACGCAAGAGAAGCGCCTAGTAGGGTGCTTGTCACATGTGAGCCCTCCGTGTGTGGCAGCTGTCATCTTTCGGGGTGTGTTCCTGGAATTAGGGTCTCCTTGTTAAAACGGATGGAGGCAGAGAGAGCTGCCCTTTTTTCTGCTGCCAGTGTGCTGACCTCCCAGGATATGCAAAGACCCATCAGATCCTTTCCTTGCCCAGGGTCCAGGGGTGGGCAGACTGAGACCACGTAATGGGGCTGCTGTGGGAGCCCAGAAAGGCCCTAATGGCTGCCTGTCAGGTCACTGAGGCTGAGAAGGCCATTCTCAGCAGGGGGACCTGTGTGAGCAAAGCCCACAGTGGCAGTGTGCAGAGGGAGCAGCGCAGGGGGGCATGGTCTTCACTGCCCTGACCTCCTCTTCTCTCCCCCATCCTCTAGGGCCCAGGAGACACCAGTGGGGGCTGCCGCTGCCGGGTGAATGGGGTCCCTTGCCATCCCAGCTGTCAGAACTGCCACTGAGCTGAGGATGGCCCGGTCCCCACGCTGATCCAGCACCACATTCGCAAGCTGCTGTGGGACAGGGCAGGTGCTTTGGCTCTGATTTACGGCCTGGGAGATGCTTCTGTGTTTGGTGGAGACGGGCCCTGGAGAGGCCAAGGCCCCTGATATGCGTGGACAGGTGTTTGCTGTGGCTGTGGCGGGGCCCCACCTGAGCTGGCTGTTGTCCGGGGCTGCGTCTGCCCCAGTGCATTTGCCCTTCCCCTGGGGCTTGCTGGCTAGACCCCGCATCTTTTCTCTCTGGCACCCACTTCTGCCCGAGCCAGCCTTAAGCACAGCCCTGGCCAGAGACCTTCCTGAATGGAGCCTCGGAGAGCCCCGCGAGTCCACACTCTGCCCGTCCATCGCTGCCGCCTGCTGACCGCTGCGCTCACAGCCTCCCACTTCCTGTCGGCTTCCTGGGGGTGACTTTCCTTTGCCTTTGCTGTTGGAGGCCTGGGGTCTCTGAGAATTGCTGCTAATCGTGTTCAGAGCCAGGAGACCCGGCCGTTTCTAAAGCACAGTCCGTCAGGTGCGGCTTCCGCGTCCCCCTTTGCCGCCAGTGTAAGCTGATTAAAATGTTTTTCCAGGAAGGGCTGAGTGTGATGACCTGAGAGGGAGTGACAGGGCCATGGGCTGGGACTCTGCACACAGGCAGGATCCCACGCTCTCCAGGAATTGCAGCAGGAAGTTGATGTATTGCCTGCTGCCACTGGTGGAACGAGGGTGTGACTGAGCACCAGGATCCTTGCACCAGACTTGGCACCCCTGCGCCCAGTTTGAGGGGCGGGATGCTCTTGGATTAACATTGACCCGAACAGGTGGAGTCTGCAGTGTGTCACAAAGTAGGGTCTGTAGATCAGGGTGGGCTTCAGGGGGCGGGAGGGGCCAAGGCCACAGCTATAGGCTGGCGGCTCCCTTCTGGCTTCTCAGTGGCCATCCTGGTGGAGGAAGAGGCATTTCAGGAACAGGTGAAGCTGCCACAGGTGAGGGGTGAGGCTGTCCATCCTAATTTCAACACCTCAGGCAAGACGGCGCAGTATCGGTCCAGCAGTATTTGTTAGTCCCTGCTCTGTGCTGGTCAGAGGTTAATAAAACACGGTTCTGGGTGTTTATCCTGTAAGTTTTTACTGCACTGTCTGACCCACCCCCGTTCCCCTGTTGAGATGTGGTATTTGATGGCCAACACGTCTGAGCCCCGATGTGGATCATCATTACGACAGGTGGAGGGAGTGTCTGCTGTTCAAGGCCCGGGCTTCAGGCTCCAGAAGTTGGGGCCTCTGGTTTTGCAGGGGAAGGACTTGTTCTAGCCCCTGGAAAGGCACTGCCACCCTGCCCTTGGATACCAAGACTCAAGAGAGTTGAGCCCAGACACTGAGAGCAGAGCTATGAGAGAACACAAGTGCCTTTCTGCTCTGCCAGCATTGGCTCATGGCAGCTGTCACAGCTGATGCAGGGCACGCTCGGCAGCCTCCCTGAAGGGGCCAGGCAGAACCAGACTGGAGGAAACAGAACAAGCCGAGGAGAGCTGGGCTGAGGAGAGTGTGATGGCACCCAGATCTGGCCAGAAGGCTTGCTTTGACCAGCTCTTCCCGCCTCCCTGTCCTGCCAGGGCCCATCTTCGTGTCCCTCAGGAGCCTGGGCACAGGAGGAAAGCAGAGACCATTCTCTTGGTGCAGAAGGTGTAAACTGGTAAGCCACAGGCTGTAACCAGTTCACCCAAAACTGTTTTAGAAATTTGAATTTGTTGCCAGTACTTTTAAATTGACAGACACTAGATTAAAATTAAGATGCCCAGCTTCTCTTGAAAAAGTCGAGGTTGGGTAATCCTGGGTCCTTGTTTCCACGTGGTAGGAATGGTTGAGTCACGTGATTGATGCTGGGTCTTCACAAGGGTTTAGGCTCTCTAGTCATCACAGTCCTTGTCACCCTCAGTACTCACACTGAGGCCTTTCCAGTGCCCTTGCACCGTTCTTTTCCTGATGAGTATTAAGAGGTATTAATGAAGTTTTTTTTTTTCAAAGATTGGCCCTGAGCTAACATCTGTTGCCAATCTTTCTTTTCTTCTCCTTCTCCCCAAAGCCCCCCAGTACATAGTTGTATATTCTAGTCATAGGTCCTTCTTGCTCTTCTGTGTGGGATCCTGCCTAAGCATGGCTTGATGAGTGGTGCTATGTCCACGCCCAAGATCCAAACCTGCGAAACCCTGGGCCGCCAAAGCAGAGTGTGTGAACTTAGCCACTCGGCCACGGGGCCAGCCCCTAATGAGGTATTTCTTTACCCATGGCTGTATCAAAAGAGAGGACAAGGCAGGCCAAGGGGGCTGCGTCGGCTGCATCTTTCGCTGGGCCCACTCCTCTCCGCCAGCCTGGGCAGAGTCTGAGTCTGCAGCAGCCAAGGAGAAGGTCAGGAGCACAAATGAAGGCGGGACTGTCCTGTGTGCCGACCTCTAGCACCACAGTGAATGCACCAGCCGGCAGGGGAGGATCTAAGAGGGCAGGCTCACAAGTGCTCCCTATTGCAGAGTTGAGGGGAGGGGCCTCACCACCTAAGGGTCACCGCATGGCACGCCCCAGACCTTGAGAGCCCGGCACCAGCTCTTCAGGACAGACTTGAAACTCAACCGCATGGGCTTTGGACTCAAACCACCCACCTGAGGAAGCAGCAGGAAGTCCCAAATGTACTTTGGTGACACAGTCTTGCTCCCCCGGAGCAGGGGAAGGCGAGCAGAAGCCCACTGCTCAGATAGAGAGCAGCTGTGGCTGGTGTGGGCTGGAGGTGGAGGACGGGTCCCAGAGCCCGGCCAGAGATGACACTGTCTTCCTGTAGTGTCTGGGCTGCCGTGAAAGCCACTCACTGAAAAAGCAGGAAGCTGGAGGCAAGCCCACACCCTGCCAGCTCACAAAGGCTGCTGGGCCAGTTCCACCCATACGTCAGCCTGGAGAAAAGACTCCTAGCAAGTAGAGGGCCTTTGTGAGGACAGGGAAAAAAGGCGGTGGGAGCCCGCAGCGAAAACACAGAGGGGACAGCAGGGCAGAGGAAAGAAGCGAAAGCCGGGCCTCATCATCTCTGGGTTGGATTTGGCGGAAGCGTCTGGCCTATTCTTCCTTTCAGTCACCGCTAATCCCGGGATGAGCATGGGGGGCCCAAGTGCGGGGCATCTTCACAAACGTCACTTCATTAAACCATCCACATGGGATGGGACTGTCCCTATTTTACTGATGTTGACAGTGAGTCTCAAAGACGTTGAGACTTGCACACAGCCAGGAATAACACACTTGCCATCATGCCACCAAGGATTCTCCCTCCAAACCCAGTCTTGGTCACGGCCCATCCTCCCTGGCAAATCACCTAGAGAGAGAGTCCCAATTCCCTCCCACAGTGCTCAAAGCTGTCCCTGGTTGGAACCCGAGTGCCCTTCCACTGACCTTGGACACTCAATCTCTCTACAAAACACCCACACTTTTTACTCAGCCGTTATTTTTACACTGTTCTTCCCTCAGCCTTCCCTGTTGTGTGGCACTTTCTGACAGCATTTCTACAACTCCAGCTGAGTGTCCAACAAGTCTGTTCAATTATGACGCTAGCTACCTGGAGTCGGCACTGGATCCTACAAGTGGAAGGCTCAGTCTCAGACTGCCCTCTTGCACGTCCAGCCACAATTAGGGTACCCAGGGACCCACCCCTCTGCCTGACCAGCTAGAAATTCGGGGGTTTCCACAACTCCACTCAGGCTCAATAATTTGCTAGAAGGGCTCATATAACTCAGGAAAACACTTTACTTACGTTTACTGATTTATTATTATAAAGGCTATACCACAGGAGCAGCCAAATGGCAGAGCTGAGCAGGGCAGGGGACGGGGCGTGCAGAGCTCCCAAAGTGAGTCATCCTCCCAGCACCTGCTCTGTTCACCAACCCAGAAGCGCTCCATCTCTGAATCAAGTTCCTGCAGAGCTCCGTTCTCCAGCCTCTCCACCCGGGTGGGGTTCAAAGTTCCCTTGCTCGAATCACTTGGTCCATCTGGTGACCAGTCCCATCCTGAGGCTCTCTCAGGGCCCCTCATTAGCATAAACTCAGGTGGGAGCAAAAGGGAATCATGAACAACAAAAGGCACTCCTATCACTCAGGAAATTCCAAGGGTTTTAGGAGAACTTGGGACACAAACCAAATATTTCTTATCACACACACCCTTCCTTCAATTTTCCAGTTATCAAAATTCTGCTCTTTATGTTCAACCATCAACTTCTATGACAAATTGTTCCTTGAATGCAACTCTCTGGTGTGAGCTCCCCGAGGCAGGGCAGTGTCCTGGTTGGCCCTGTGTACTCCATGAGTCAGATCAAAGGGTGGCATGGGCAGCTGGCCTATGGTGTGGGACAGGGTCAAGGAGCAGGTGGGTGATGCCAGCTCAGCCTTGGCCCCTCTGACATCTCCCCTCTGGGCCAGGGAAACATGAATAAACATCCCCAACAACATGGATTCTTGCCTCCGTGATTGGCCCACCCTCAGGGTGGAGGCACTTGGCACTGCTCTGGGCTCCCACGACCCAACAGCTGGGCATGTTGAGAGGATGTTGGAAGAGCTTACTTAGCAAGAACAGCTCTCAACAGCTCCTTTGTGGATGGAAATTACACGTGGAAGCAAACTTGCTTTCACATCAGGCTCTGGTTGGGTTCCAAAACTGAACATCAGCCTTTAGAGCTGAAGGCACCCCCAGAACAGTGTGTAGAAATAGTCAAGATCACCCCAATCTAATGTCCCACACCACTCATGCTGCTGAACTGTGACCTGTGGCCCTGGGCAGCAGCTGGACTGTGTAGGTCATACTTGCAGGTGAAATAGAAGCAGGACTGCAGGTATTGCCCAAGCTCGCCAGCAAGTCGAGGCCAACCAGGAGTCCACCGACCACGGCACAGTCCCAGGCAGAGGGGGGAGGCACGGGAGCATCGAGGCCAGATGCCTGAGACCAGAGTCCACTCCCAACGAGAAGTGCATAAGGATGGAATGCCAGAAGAGGTTAGTAACCACAATAGGCTATTTATTTCATACAGGGTTCTGTACAAAATATTTACACATACTCTTTACAGAATAGTAAACCATCTAAAGGTAAAAAGATAATGCTTGCTTCTCATTGGCAGGGAGAATCCTGATGTCAGCAAAACTATAAAACAAATGAACTTTCTCCTTCCTAGGCCACAACAGAAGCAAATGCTACTTGCTCCCTGGGATCCCAAAAGCTGTGGCTCTGGGACCCTGACAACGTGCACCTGCTTGCCCCTCCCCATCAGTTCCTTGAGTGTTTACAGACAGGCCCGAGTGCTTGCAGCAGGAGGGGCCGATTCTGCCCCACTGTACAGATGACCAGAGGACAAACTTGCTGTGGGACACGACTGGGAATATCTGTCACAGCATCCCCTCTGGGTCCTGGAAGAACTGCCTCTGTCTTGATGAATCCACCACTTTCTAGGTTACTCCACCCACATCACACTCACCCCAGGTGGGACTCCCCATATGGAGAATCACACATCATTTTGAGCTTTTTTTGGTTTTAAAGTGCTTAGTGTAACTCAGTGTAGTCTCCTGTGCTAACTGCTCCGGGCTTGCTGGCTGCCTGCGAGCTCAATGCCCTCCACTCTGCACACAGCGCGCCTGTGGGGAGGACCTGGATGTCTGGGTATGGTGGGGGGTAGAGTGCTTCTGGCATGTTCACTTTAAGAAAACACCTGCCAAGAGAGAACGGTGCCCGAGAGAGACCTGGAAAAGCAAAGTACATGGCTGCTTCATACTATACACCCTAATTCTTTAAAGCAGCAAAAGGCACTTTTTTTTCAAGCCAGAGTTAATTTAAAACAAACCCGGCCTTGCTTACAGGAAAAGCAGCCCCAGAAGGAGTGGCTGAGCCGCCTTGGCCCCGAGGCCTGCAGAGCCCTCAGGAAGCAGGGGGCTGTCCCAGGCTCCTCCCACTCTCTCCAGGCTGCAGTCTGTTCCTTTCTGGTGCTGACAAGTTTCCAATGACGTTTCCAACCAGGAAGGAGAGACCAGCAATTGAGGAGATAAACCAAACCAAAAAAGCGAAGCCAGGGTAGTGAGTGGGGGCCTGTTTGGGAGTGGAAG